ACGTATGTATGTATGTATGTATAAAGGTATGTATGTATGCATGTATGTATGTATGTATGTATGTATGTATGTATGTATGTATGTATGCATGTATGTACATATGTAGGTTTGTATGTACGTATGTATGTATATATGCATGCATGGATGTATGTATGTCTACACGTATGATTCCATGTATGTATGTCTGTCGAGGGTGTGTGTGTGTGTGTATGTATGTATGTATGTATGTATGTATGTATGTATGTATGTATGTAGGTATGTATGTATGCATGTATCTTTGTCTCTGTCTATACGTCGTTCATTCACTCCTTAGGAGAAGTGCTCTGGGAAAGTATGTCAGAGAATTCAGGGAAGTCTCACGTTGTTGCTTCTCAACAGGAAACGGTCGAATGTCTCATCTGAAGGCATACGCACTTTCCTAAATGTATCTGACTGCAATTACGTCCAAAGGTGAATGCATCTGAGTGCGATCACATCCAAAGCAGAGTTGTCCGATCTCGGGCAATATTCACAGCAGTGAATTTCTGTATGAACAATTCCCATAATTGAGCCCAGATACCACCAGGAAGGGCCTACTTTGAGGATGCCCCTCAGACAGAAAAACCGGGACTGAACTGAACCAATTGATTCCGATGACGGCAGTGACTTTCAGCTGCCTACCTTCTTACGCAGGTCATATAAAGTGCCACTAAACTAAAATGACTGCATTTGGACCTGAACATGGTCTGTATACGATCATGATGATGGGGCATCATGTTTGGGAGAAGAAGGCAGTGTGTGTACCCTACCTACGTTCTTTCCCCCAAGCACAATGCAGCCTGATCAAATGTATACAAGCTGTCTTTCCGGTCCAATACAGTCATGTTAAGGTGTGTTGCGTTCGAAATAAGACGGTATCTGGACAGAAAATTGGCCTACATGCGTTATGTGTGGGGCTAGGCGACTCTATGGTGTATAGCCATGGGAAACCAATCGGTCATACAATGACTGCACATCATACGTCAATTGACACATGGAACGATCATGCCTTATATAATTGACACGTTGAGCGATCGAGGTGTTTTTCATGTAATTGACTTGTGGAGCGATTGAATTCCTGTGGACAGGTGAGACCATTGCTGACAGGGCCGATTGGACTTGGAGCTTACGAGTATTCAAACGGCCAAATTGGGATGATGTTGAACCCTATCGGTGAGTATCTTGCCCTTAGGATGATGAGCTTCTCATTCTTGTCGTCGTTGTCTTCATCCTCTTCCTCTTCCTCTTCCTCCACTTTCTCCGCGTTGCCCTTGCCCTTGTCCTTGCCCTTGCCCTTGCCTTTGCCCTTGCCCTTGCCCTTGTCCTTGCCCTTGCCCTTGCCCTTGCCCTTGCCCTTGCCCTTGTCCTTGTCCTTGTCCTTGTTCTCATCCTTGTCCTCATTCTTGTCCTTGTCCTCGTCTTCGTCTTCGTCTTCGTCTTTGTCTTTGTCTTTGTCTTCGTCTTCGTCTTCGTCTTCGTCTTCGTCTTCGTCTTCGTCTTCGTCTTCGTCCTTCTCTTTGTCCTTGTCCGTGTCCTTGTTTTTCTCTTGCCCTTGCCCTTGGCTTTTCCCTTGTCGTTGCTCTTGCCCTTGTCCTTGTTCTTGCCCTTGTCCTTGTCCTTGTTCTTGTCCTTGTCCTTGTCCTTGTTCTTGTCCTTGTTCTTGTTTTTGGGTCTCGCTGCACTACTCTCCACTCTCCGAATTTGGAGAGTTTTTCATCGCTGCACTAACTATCCAATTCCACCCTCCCTCGGATAGCTGTCAGAAACCTTCGTTGAAAAACACTCTCCGCTGGTGGAGAGTGCCCAGCCTGCAACTGTGGTTTTTCAACGGACCTCCGCCCGACTCTCCAAGTTGCTCCGAATTCGGAGAGTGTGCCTGGAGTCTGGGAAGACTAAATGCAGATCACGCCGTGTCCTCCAGCGCTGTCGTCATTTCTGCTAGTGCACTCACGAGTTGGAGTCTCGGAGAGTGGAGAGTCAGTGCAGCGGTGAACCAAGAATCACAAATTCGGAGAGTTTTTCAGCTCTCCGCGCCCTCTCCGATTTTTCAGAAAGTGGAGAGTAAGTGCAGCGAGACCCTTTTTCTTGCCCTTGCCCTTGCCCTTGCCCTTGCCCTTGTCCTTGTCCTTTTCCACATCCACATCCACATCCACATCCTCGTCCTTGTCCTTGTCCTTGTCCTTGTCCTTGTCCTTGTCCTTGTTTTTCTTTTGCCCTTGCCCTTGCCCTTGTCCTCTTCCTTGTCCTTGTCCTTGTTCTTTTTTTTTTCTTGCTCTTGTCCTTGTTGTCGTTGTTATTGTCCTCTCCTCGTCCTCGCCATCCTATATTGTTCTTGAAGAGGAGGTGTTTTGCTACCTCCAAGCTTGTATTCCCTTTGGAAGTTGGGCAAACATTGTCAAACGACATTTTTGCCTGAAAACCCCAGGGCTGAATAAGGGCTACCGTCTTCCCCCGAACACAACGCACCCTTATTTTAGCTGCATCTGGCCGGAAATATTGCTTGTATACATTCATTTTTAGGGTGCGTTATGTTCGGGGGAAGACGGTAGTAAACCTGCCTAACTGCACTTTGCAATGCGGTGTTATTAAACTGCCAGTACCTTTCCCAGCTTCTTTTTTCCTCCGCCGGCATGCTTGGAGGTGCTCCCACAGGCTCGGCACAACTTCGGGGCCAGGATCCACTTCTAACTATGAGCAACAAAAAAAGAAAAAACAAAATGGCGATCTTCCCACGATCTAGCAAGAGAGGAAAACAAAAAGGGGGAGTATATTCCCGCAATCTATCAAGTGCAAGAAAAAAAAAAAAAAAGGCCCCGCTCCACTACTCACGACAAGCACAGAAGACACAAAAATAAGGCGGTGTATCTTACTACATTTCGAGCAGAAGATTCATTCTCATTTTGCTCATTTGGTGTGAGTCGCGGAGTGATGCCGTGTTTGTCACTACAGCGGGGCTTTTATCCTCGCGGACAGGCTGCTTCCAAAAGCCCCGCTGTACTGACGAACAGGGCATCACGCCATGACTTACTAAATGAGCAAAATGAGAATGAATCTTCCACTAGAACATGGGTAGATACACCGCCTGATTTTTGGTCTTGTGTGCATCTCGTGAGTAGTGGAGCCAGGACTTGCTCTATTACTACTCACGACGTGTGCAAAAGACAAAAAGAAAAACAAAAAAACATCGTGGCGTGTCTTCCCACGTACTCGGGGAAGATTCATTCTGGTTTGGCTCATTTGGTAGGTAGTGGAGCGAGGCCCTATTTGCCGAAAGCTGCGAAAGGTTAAGGGCTGCTGTCAACCCGCGCCCCTCATCCTGTGCTTTTCTTTTTTTTTCGCTTTTCCTGTTTCCTCAGCTTTCCCTCCCACAGCATCGGGAGCTGGCTGCGGATACGTTTGGGAGTGGCAGGTCAGAGGTACCACCCCCAGCTACCTTCTTCCCCCGAATACAACGTACGGTTACTATATCTGTATTCGAGGCATCTGTCGGTCTAGATTCAGCTATAATGACCGTACGTTGTATTCGGGGGAAGAAGGTAGCCACGTGTTAGTAAACGGACGATGATTTCACCGAATTGGTTAAGGAATCGTATGAATGAAAAAGGAGGGAAAGTAAAAAAAAAAAGGTTAAAAAACATTGATTGGAGCCTTCACCAATTGAAAAGCGACTTCAGACGAATGTCCTTGCCTTCAAATTTTCAACCACATTATATACCGGAGGCAATTTCGCTACATCTGTTTCCTACCTTCACTACTCCTGCAAATGACTCAGACTTCAGAAATGAATCAGTTGTACACAAAGGGGAATTAATAATTAATAATTATTCAAAATTTAAAGCATGCATTTGATTTCTGATTTCTCTTTGACACAGATGGAATCGCTCCGCTGAGTCTGCTCCCCTCGGCGGACTGGACTAACAAAAATATGTGCAAGCTCTCTCTGTCTGCTGTCTGGTTTCAACTTGAATAAGGGTTGAGTGAGGTTCACAGTGATTAATAACTAAGAATTTATTAAATTTAACACCTTTCCAATAATTATTTTGCATGAGAAATTCTATGCGTCAGCGGGGGGATCCACCGTGACATTGCAAACAATTGCAATACGAAAAGTACCAGTATAATTAACTTTTAAGTTTTAAGTCCCAACGAGGCAGACAGAGAAGCGTTAAACGGTTGAACTTCAAATGAACACCTCCCTGTTGGACCTCTGGTTGTCCTTTTTTGTCATGGTGTCTGAACAAATATGGTGTTCTAACTTCTTAGGTGTATATAAGCAAAGCCTAACTTGCTGTGAAAAAGTATACCATCTTCACCCGAATAGAACGCCAGGTCATTATCGCTGCATCTGGACAGAAAATGGCCCCAAATACGGCTATTATAATGACCGGGCGTTATTTTCGCGTGAAGACGGTAGTAACTACTGTTCCCCAAGCTTGCTTATGGTCAGTTTTAATAAAGTGCTTAGTAAAAAAAAAAAAAAAAAAAAAAAAAAAAAAGCTTGCTTATGGTTGTGAATCTCCTCAGGGAGCCTCAGAGAGACGAACCTGTCTGTGTCCCATAACTATTTTCCGCTCGCAAGTCCCGCAGATTATCAATCTATGTTGTTGGGCCCCCCTACCCGCTTTTAGAAAAAAACCTATAAACTGTGTGTTTGCATGATCTTGCATCGACGACGGCCGAAACGATCTTCCACCCGATGTCGAGCATCCTCCCACCATCACACGGTTGTCACGAATCGGACGGACGGCCTTGTTCCTGCTTTCTTTGTGTCGAGTCGGCAGCTCGACTGACAAGCTGATAATTTGTGAACTGGTTGGTTTGAAATGTCGCTGGGCTGTGAAAACTGTTGTGGAAACGGAACCGCTGTTGCTCTGGCAATGAATGTGAATGTGACTCCAGGTCCAAAGGGAGAAGGAGGGCTTGACGACGCGACTGGTCAAGGCGGAAGCGGCGGAGGAGCGAGCTACAAGCAGACTGTTATCGTAGAAAATCTTGGAGAACTCAAGGATGAGGAAGAGTGGAAAGTTCCATTCATTCCTAATCTGAAAAACCTGCTGAAGCTGAACTTGGGGCGGGGCAAGTAAAGGAGGAGGCAAGCGAAGAGAAGCAATCGAAGAGAGAGAACACAAAAATCACACGCACATCTTCGACGGCAAGATAGGCTGTGATTCCTTTCCTTTGTAGTTCTGCCCCCTCTGGTCTTTGTTTGCACCTTGTAACTGTGATGCCTCCTTCCTGATGATCAGAAGAAGGGCAGAAGCTCAGTGTGATGCCTGCATTGTCTTCGCGCTGTTCTCCCTAATGCAGAATCAAGCGTGTATTATGCAGAGACTAAGATGCCCAACGTAGCAATTTTTCAACTTCTGAGTTTTCTGACTGTAGTAATGTTCGCACTTTGAAGTTTTTCTTCTTCTCCAGTCATGTCTTCTTCTTCTTTATCGCACCTGTTTTTTGTAATTAGGAGTGCAGAGGAGGAGAAGTAACTGCCGCGGTAGATTGATTGGTAGGCTACTAGGCTCGCCGCTCTCGTTCTTCCAAAAAGCAGAGAGAGCGTAAAAAAAATACACATTTTTGAGTTGGGTACGTCTTTCAAAATTATCAATTCTTGTCAAGAAAAATCATGTATCGGTTCTTAGTCTGTCTGTTGTGTGTTTCAGAGTTGTTGGTTCTGACTGGCGCAAACCGACCTCGCACCTGTATGATGTTTCTCTCCCCTCCCAAGACCTTCTTCCCCTTGTTCCATGCTTTGGTTCAACACCTTACAAGGAACCATTCCCTCCCCCTCCCTTCCTTTCCTTCCCTTCCTTCCCCTCCCTTTTCATCCTTCCCTTCCTTCCCCCTACTCCCTTTGACCCACCAGTACACTTGCGCAGCTTGTCCGAAACTGCTTAGAAGCTGGGGACTGTCGAAGAAGAAACTACCTTCGCCCCCCTACCCCTCGTCCTCCCTCCCTGCCTCCCTTCCCCCCTTCCCCTCCTTCCTCCTTCCTCCTTCCTCCTTCTCCTTCTTCTTGCTTCTTCTTCTTCCTCTTCTTCTTCCTCTTCTCCTTCTCCTTCTCCTCCTCCTTCTCCTTCTCCTTCTCTTTCTCCCTCTCCTTTTCCTTCTCCTTCTCCTTCTCCCTCTCCCTCTCCTCCTCCTCCTCCTCCTCCTCCTCCTCCTCCTCCTCTCCTCCTCCTTCGTCTTCGTCTTCGTCTTCGTCTTCGTCTTCGTCTTCGTCCTTCTTCTCCTCCTCTTCCTCCTCTTCCTCCTCTTCCTCCTCCCCTTTCTTCTGCTTCTTCTTCTTTCCTCCCATGCTTCATTGATCTTCTCCGTCTTTTTCCATTAACAAGCCATTCGTGAAAAGTAGACATTTCGTGAAAACTGGACTGAGTCAAAAACTACAAGATTAATTTTTTAAAAACTATATTTTTTTCATTTCTGGAACCCATGTTCCGTTTGCAATCACCAAGTTTTTAAAGAAAACAGTGAAAACTACTATTTTGGAAATCATAACAAAATGGAGTCAAGAAGGTAAACAGCAAAACTAATTTAGAGAATACCTTAAAGCTAACGGTTTGTTTGATAGAGGAAAACATATTTTTCGGGGAGTTGTTGGAACTTGTTGCACAAGTACACAAACAAAATCAAGCTTATGGCATTTTACAAGTATCGCCTTCAATCCCCTGCCTTCAATCCCCCGCCTTCAATCCCCCACCTTCCCTCCCACACCTTCCCCCGCCTTCCCCCCCCTCCGCCTTCACCTTTCTCGGCCTTTTGGCTAAAATCAAGTGTAGTATCTGTTCTGATCAGTTTAATATCTGATCTGTGGCCCATCGGGCCACTGAAAAAAAAAGCAAAAGCGGCCACCTTCCTTTCCCCGCCTTCTCACACCTTGCCCTGCCTTCCCACCTTGGCCCACCTTCCTCCACCTTGCCCCGCCTTCCTTCCCCCGCATTCCCCCACCTTCCGCTGCCTTCAATCCCCCACCTTCCCCCACCTTCAACCCCCACCTTGGCCCACCTTCCTCTACCTTGCCCCGCCTTCAATCCCCCGCCTTCAACTTTCTCGGCCTTTTGGCTAAGATCAAGTGTAGTATCTGCTCTGATCAGTATAATATCTGATCCGAGGCCCATCGGGTCGCTAAAGAAAAAATAAATAAAAACTTAAAATCCCGCCAGCTTCCTTTTGCCGCCTTCCTGCACCTTGTCCCGCCTTCCCTCCCGCACCTTGCCTGCATTCCTCCGCCTTGCCCCACCTTCCCTCTGCGCATTCCGCCGCCATGCCCGCACCTTAAAGTTTCCCCCCCTTCCCGCACCTTGCCCTGCGTTCCCTCCCGCACCTTGCCCCGCGTTCCTTCCCGCACCCTGCCCGGCCTTCCTCCGTCTTGCACCGCCTTCCTTTCCCTCCATTTCTCCACCTTCTGCTGCCTTCGATCCCCCACCTTCCGCTGCCTTCAGCCCCCCACCTTCCCCCTCCTTCAATCCCCCGCCTTCAATCCCCCACCTTCCCCCGCCTTTCCCCCCCGCGTGTTCACCTTTCTCGGCCTTTTGGCTAAGATCCAGTGTAGTATCTGTTCTGAGCAGTTTAATATCTGATCCAATGCCCATCGGGGCACTAAACAATAATAATAATAATAATAATAATAATAATAATAATATCTGCCACCTTCCTTGCCCTGCCTTCCCTCCCGCGTATTCCCCCGCCTTGCCCCGCTTGCCCTCCCCTGCTATCCCGTGGCCTGCCTTCCTGCTCTCCGACTTGCCGCACCTATGTTCTCCCCACATAATCGGTCGTTTTTGAAACTGACAGATTACGTAATCGGTCAGTTTCAAGA